TGAAGGATCTGCTTCTTGCCTTTTTTCACATGTTCATCTCATTATCCACGCTGCAAAAAATCAGGTTCTTACTCAGTATTTTTGTCGGGTTTTCCAGTAAATCGTTCTTGAAACAAGATACATTTACTTGAGAAACAAACATGACATTTGAGAATTTTGAAAATTCGAATTTGAAAACGAAAAATCCTTATTTTTCGGCAGACATTTATTTTGAAGATATGAAGTTGTTGTTGTTTTTTTGAAAAACGTGTTTTTGAATTTTTTTTAATTTGAAAATTCGAATTTGAAAAAGAGAAATCCTTATTTTTTGGCAGATATTTATTTTTAAGATATTAAGTTGTTGTTGTTGTTTTTTTTAAAACGTGTTTTTTAAATGTTTTAAATTTGAAAATTCGAATTTGAAAATGACAAATCCTTATTTTTTGGCAGATATTTATTTTTAAGATATTAAGTTGTTGTTGTTGTTTTTTTTAAAACGTGTTTTTTAAATGTTTTAAATTTGAAAATTCGAATTTGAAAATGACAAATCCTTATTTTTTGGCAGATATTTATTTTTAAGATATTAAGTTGTTGTTTTTAAAAAAAACGTGTTTTTGAAATTTTTTAAATTTGAAAATTCGAATTTGAAAATGAGAAATCCTTATTTTTTGGCAGATATTAATTTTTAAGATATTAAGTTGTTGTTGTTTTTTTTAAAACGTGTTTTTAACATTTGTTAAATTCGAAAATTCGAATTTGAAAATGAGAAATCCTTATTTTTTGGCAGATATTTATTTTTAAGATATTAAGTTGTTGTTTTTTTGAAAAACGTGTTTTTGAAAATGTTTACATTTGAAAATTCGAATTTGAAAGGTAGAAATCCTTATTTTTCTGACCACACTGGGAGATATTTGTTTTTAAAGTTATTAAGTCTCGTTTTTTTTTCAAATTTGAAAATGGAAAATCCTGCCAAATGGGGTCAGAAAATATTTAAATTCTCTTTAAATTAAGTTTATTTTTCTGATCATGTTGGCAGATATTTGTTCTAAACGAAAACGTAATTTTAATACAAAATAAATGTTGCTTCTCAAGTAAATGTGTCTTGAATTACGAATGTTTAGATATAACAAGAGAAGCATGCAGAGGAGGAATCATTTTTTGCAGTGCAGATGAGATGTGAGATAAAGTGCTCTGAAGTTCAGATCCCAGACTGGAGTGGATGAAGACATGATGATGATGATGATGAAGGACAAGCTCAGCCAGTAGTAAACGTGCGGTCATCATGCCGGATGCTGTGGAGTCCTTTAGCTCAATTGGAAGAACGTGACATGAACAAAGTGCAGATCACGAGTTTGATATCCAGACACAAAACATCATATGACTCCAGAAGAACATTAAATCGCTCTGAATCGACAGACCGGACCGCGAGAGTCTCACAGTGCATCAATCATGACTTGCGTCTCGTTTTAAAAGCATCATAGTTCCTCAGTGATGCACTAGATTCACTAATGAAACAACATCACACAGGTTCATGGACAGATCTGCACAAGCTAAACACTGGAGAGCAGAAGCTGACCTTTACCAATGACACATCAATACCAGCTCAAACTTCACCCAGGAGATCAGCTCTTCCTCATCACTATACAGCCATTAGATTACAGTGCTGTGCAAACACAGACTTCATCAGCAGCAGCACGAAGAAATCAGACCTCGTGAAGCTCGTCATCAGATAGAATCATCATATGCTGCTGCTGATGATATGACACGATTGTTTTAATAATAATAATAACATATGGTGATAATGTCTGGTCTTCAGGCTGCTGGTTCTTCTGCATTGTTTTTGAACTTGCTGTAATGTGAGAAGAGAAAGTGTGACTTACCGTGAGAAACACTCGAGTGCGATCAGATCCGATGATGTGGATGAGTGTGAGAGCGCAGACCTCTGCTGTGAGAGAGTGAGTGCGTGCGTGCGTGCGTGCGTGTGTGTGTGTGTAAAGACTGATGGTTCCGCCCACAGACCCGCATCACACAGCAGCGCAGATCAGCAGAGACTCAACAGCGCCACCTGCTGGACAACACACATACACACACACACACACACACACACACACACACACACACACACACACACAACATGCGCAACATACTGAACACACAACATTCACCTTATTTTTAACTTGTGCTGCGAGATGTCATTCGCTTCCATTTATTACAAAAACTGCTTGATGTTGCGAACTGTTATCTGATTATTTCAGTGTACCCATTATCATAATTATAATCACGCTGGTTTGTAAATAGCTTTCCATTTAGCGCATTTTGTTATTCTTCTAGTTCTCCTTGAGCTTAACAGTGACACTATTGTCTTTTTAGAGCTGCTTTCTGAATTGTCTCCATAATTGAGTTTCCATAATCGATTCTGTTATTTTCCTGTTTATTACAGTGAAGCTGCTTGAAACAATCTGCACTGTATAAGCGCTGTAGTAATAAAGCGGACCTGATTAGACTAGTGATTCATTCAAAGCGGATAGAACATTTTATTCTGTGTATTCTTGGTATTTATTGAAATGCACTTTAAAACTTGTTAAACAATAAAAAGGACACACTTTATTGACTTCGGTCTGTTCCTCACTGATAGCACACGTACATCACGTCTATCTGACGTCTGCATTACATCTGCAAGACGTGTTTTGTAGAGCGTTTGCTCATCTGCAATACATCTATAGGACGTTTCCTATCAGATGTCAAACAGACGTTTAGAAGATGTCTTTATGATTTAGAATGCATGAAAAATGTTTGTACACAGCAGATGCTTTCGCGATCTTTAACAGACGTACACGTGTGCTATCTGGGAAGTAAGTCTTGCAGTTTTGAATAACACGAGGGTGAGTAAGAGATAACAGAATGATCATTTGTGAGTGAAATAGGCTACCCCTTAAAAGTAGTTGTTTTTACATTAGGCCGCTAGAGGGCGACACGCGTCCGTGAGACCAACAGCAACACTCAGATTTACTGCAGGTGCTGCCACAAGCACACGCGCATTAATACATACAACACATCAATAAAACACGCACCATCTGTATTAGATGTATATATTACTTTAATATGTAGCGTCTAGTTTCCGGCGGCTTTGATGAGTAGCGCTTGATTCCAGAGATCACGTGATCGCTATAGACTGGGAAACCCTTTGTCCACGCTCCATCACCGTGGTGAAGCTCATCGGCCAATCAGAGAGCAGCTCTCATCTGAGGAGAACAAGAGGAGGGGAAGCTGGACGCTGATTGGCCAGCGGCTGTGAAGCGCATCTCTGTTGCTGGTAAGAAGTCTGTCTGCTTATGAATCACTATAAAAGATGAAAAAAGTGCAGTTCATTATGAGTTTGAGATTGTGAAACAAACCCAACAGCAGACTGGCCCTCTCTTTTATGTTTGTGAAGATTAATGGCTCAGTTCTTAAGTCTTCAGTGTTTGTTTAGCCTGTTGGTTTTATGAAGTTTGTGTTGTTCATACACTGTAAACAATGCTGGGTTAAATATAACCCAGTGCTGGGTAAAATAGGGACAAACCCAGCAATTGGGCTGTTTTGACCCAGCGGTTGGGTTAAATGTTTAAATGTTTAACCCAACATTCTGGGTAGTAACCCAACCGCTGGGTCGCTACCCAGAAAACAGCCCAATTGCTGGGTTTGTCCCTATTTTACCCAGCACTGGGTTGTATTTAACCCAGCATTTTTTAGAGTGTAATAGTTTATCTCAGTTATCATGTAATAGCACACATATATGATAGCCATCTACCACAGTCACCAGCAGTGCTATTTTAGTAGCAGGGTTAGTTAACTAAATATAAAACTATAAAATAATATAAAAAAAAAAACAATTTGCCAATGCAACATTTCTCATTTTCATTTAGTTTATCTCGATGTACTAAAATAACTAAAAATAAAGATGAATGAAAACTATATAGACACATTAAATGACAAAAACACAGAAAAATTACTAAACTTTAACATTAAAATAAAAACAGAAAATATTAAATACAACTGAGTTCAAAATATTAATAAAATCACTGAGATACTATTATGGTTTTTTATTAATATTTTGAATTGGTTTTCATTTAAATGGAACTTTTAGTAATTTTGTTGTTTTTATGGTGACACTTTACAACAAGGTTCATTAGTTAACATTAGTTAACTACTTTAGTTAACATGAACCAAGCACGAACAATACTTCTACGGCATTTATTAATCTTAGTTCATTTCAACATTTACTAATGCATTATTAAAATCAAAAGTTGTGCTTGTTAACATTAGTTAATGCACTGTGAATTAACAGGAACTAACAGTGAACGACTATTTTCATTAACAAAGATGAATAAACACTGTAATAAATGAATTGTTCATTGTTTGTTCATGTTAGTTACCTAATGGAACCGTATTGTAAAGTGTTACCGCATTTTTTAAAATATATGTCTGTATATTTTTTTATTAATTTTCATTCCTGTTTTGATTTTTTCAGTACAAGATAAACTGAATAAAAATGAGAAATGTGTTTTGGAAACTATAGCTGAAATGAAATAACTAGCTTGGCAGCTAACCTGGTTTTGTTTGTGTTTCGTCCAGCGTTTAAGAAAGGGCTCTATTTCTTTCTTTCTTTCTTTCTTTCTTTGGTGAGTTATAGTTCCTATTTTAGCCTTTTTGATACCCTGAATTCAATGCATTTTAATTCACTTCTCAGATGGATACCTAGATATTAATAGATATTATTAAATATTTTATTTAATAATGTCCATAAATAATGCAGTATTTCATATATAAGCAGACCACAGTCTATGATACTGAATGTAACTTGATGTATAAATATGAGGATGATGTAAAGCAGGTTTGTTCATGTGATGAGATTCAGTCTGTGTTCAGAGATTCAGGGCGGGGCTACAGAGGGCCGTGTCTCAAATCCCGCTCAGCTGCCTAGATAGTGCACAGCACTCGAGCGTCACTGGCGCACTAGGCGTTTTGAGGGCGACACGGGCGCTGCGCCTACAAACGCTGCAACCTAGTTAGGGCGCACCGGAGGATTTGGGACGCGGCCCGAGAGACAGAAACCCGCTGCTGCGCTTCATTAGAGCCTCGGTGGGTCTCCATCATTCATCCGTCCCACAGAGCCGATCCACAGACCCGATACCGAGCGCACGGAACCGGCAGATGGACGGCACGCGTGCGCTCTGACGGCGGAAGCTCCACTCGTTCATCTTCGGCTCGGTTCGGCGCTCCAATCGCTGCTCGACCGTTCGCTATTGTTCGGATGCGCGACGCTGGGAATCAATTCGATTCCCGACCGAACATGAGTTCTGCTATCCGCTGGGTTTTATCGCTGTACTTCATCATCACCGTCATCATCACTCAGGTGAGTGCGTTCTTTTCATTCACGTAAATGAGCGTTGAGGTCTGCGGCGAGCGCGAGGCGTTGATTACACGCGCGCGTCATTGAATCAGTTCGCGTCGATGTGGATGGGTTCTGGAGCGTTTCTGTTTCTGTGTGTCGGAGATCAGCAGCAACTGATGCGACTTACACGATCAGAATGTGCTCCGATGTTCCTGCAGGCGAAACTGGGTCACACAGCTGAACGCGCGCGTCTGTGTGTGTGTGTGAGTGAGTGTGTGTGTTTGAGAGAGAGAGAGAGAGAGAGTGTGTGTGTGTGTGAGTGTGTGTGTGCGTGTGTGTGTGTGCGTGTCTGTGAGTCATCTAAATTTCTTGCTAAGAGACAGGTGTGCAGGTGTGTTGAACCATGTCCCATGTGCTGTTTGCTAGCAATCAATACAGGCTTAAAACATGACATGCAGCTTCCATGATTAACTCTTGCGAGAGATTTTGTCTTCATCTGATCAGACGCTGTAATGGACAAGAGATCTGACAAAAAACCGTCCGCTCCGCGTCTGCTGAAACGCACTGGTTCAAGCGCTAGTTGTTTTATTTGCAACTTTGACAATTATTTTTTTATAGTGTAAAGATAGCGTCGATATGTGTTTTATCTGAAAAACAGAGCAGTAGCAGAAAACAAATTGAAAAAACTGAAGAAAAAAAAATCATTGTAGGATTTAATTTGAAATGATTTTCACTCAGAAATAATTACAACAGGGTTTCTGCTGGTCTTTAAAAGCCTTAATTCACCCTTTGACAAATTAAGGCCTTTAAAGGTCTTAAATCAGAGCAGAAAGTCTTAAATTCATAAAGTCGTGAGATTAAATGCAAAAAATGATTCTCTTCCTCAGTATTTCTGTCTTGTTTTCCAGTTCAAATATCTAAATGCCCTTAAATCAAGATACTTTTACTGGAGATGCAAATGAAGATATGAATTTTCTGAGAAACTGAATTGAGTTTATGCTTAAAACCACAACAAATATCTGCCAAAACCTGTTTTTCTTTTAAATATGTAGATTTTTCTGAATCCATTAGAAGTGGAGGAGATCGTTTCTTATAACCAGTGTTAGGGGTAATGCATTACAAGTAACGCGAGTTATGTAATCAGATTACTTTTTCAAAGTAACTAGTAAAGTAACGCATTACTTTTTAATTTACAAGAGAATATCTGAGTTACTTTTTCAAATAAGTAACACAAGTTACTTTTTTTTCCCCATTTATTGATTGAAAGCTCTCCTGTCCGCATGTTGAGAGAAATCGGGAGATATAGAATAAATGTGAACATGCATTAATTCATCTCACTCACTCACAAAAAAAATCATATTTAGTTTTCCTCAAAATTAATAAAAACAGTTAAACGCAACTCAGAATATGACTCAAAGCTGCAATAATTAAATATGTTAAATAATACAAATATCCTTTATGTATTTAATCCCATTTTATTAACCAATTTGCTGCTGACCTTCGGTGTTCCAATTCAACCATACTAATAAGCAGGGATTACACAAGATAAACTAACATTTCTTCTTTTTTTATTGCTAAAGAATGTTGAACTTTCTTCTTCTGTGTATACTGTACAGACGTGATTTACAGGGCTTCTATATTTATCAAAAATAGAACTTTTTATGTTAAAAGCAAACAAGCAAGCCCCGCCCAGATTTAAAAAGTTTCTTTCAATAAAAAGTAACTAAGTAACATAATTAGTTACTTTTTTTTAGGAAGTAACGCAATATTGTAATGCATTACTTTTAAAAGTAACTTTCCCCAACACTGGTCCTAAATATCTAATATGTAAATTACAAAGCAGATAATTTCTTATTTTATTATACTCTTTAGATGGACTTTGGAGTGTGTGTGTGTGAGAGAGTGTGTGTGAGTGTGTTAGAGTGATTGTGTGTGAGTGTGTGAGAGTGTGTGTGTGTGTGAGAGTGTGTGTGTGTGAGTGTGTGAGTGTGTGTGAGAGAGTGTGTGTGTGTGTGTGTGTGAGTGAGTGAGTGTGTGTGTGTGTTTGTCTGATTCACTCATTGTTCCCTGTTTACAAACTCTCAAAAGAGTTCAAGACAAAAAAACCAGCTGAGTCAGAGCTGCCAATCACACGCTCCTCTGGAGTGGGCGGAGCAGCTGATTGGGCGGGTTTGGACCTCCGGTGGTCCAGTGGGAGGGGTTTATGTGTGTGTGTGTGTGCCAGCGTGGGCTATTTGTTGTGTTTCCTGGCCGTCTGATCGTCCTCCCGCTGCACTGAACACACCGGTGTGTTTGCTTTTAATTAAAAGCGTCTGCAGAACGAGTCGCTCGTCTTCCTCCCTCACAGTCTTCAGATGCTCGTCTGACACTTTCAAAAATAACAGTTCATTATTGGCATCCATGAAAGCCTTCCGTTGATCAAAAGGAACTTTATTGTGGAAAAAGCTTCTTTAGATTTTAAAAATGTTCTTGGCAGTAGGGATGGGCGATATGGACCTTTATCACTAGGGATGTAACGATTCACTCAACTCACGATTAGATTCGATTCACGATTTTTTATTTTTTTTTAACAAAATGAGATTTAAGACAAATTATAAAATCTCACCGATTTGAATCGTCACATTTGAATCGATTTTCAACCGGCTCGCGGTTAATTGTTACATCCCTATTTATCACCATATTTTCTGGTGTTTATTGTGATTACGATTGTGATTCATATGCATGCACTGAGAGACAAAAAAATCTCCTGTATTATCTTTTCTATTTTTACCAAAAATAGGGTGTTGTTAGCACACATTTAATGTAATGTCTGTTTCATTCACCCTGGAAGCCGGAGGGCGCCCTCGCACAGAAACTCCACGTGTGTGTCACAGGTAATAGAACTGATGATGCTCCAGGAAATCACTAACATGGACAAACACATGCAGCTATCACTGTGACTGAATAAAAAGAAGATAGAAACGCTTTAACTGATGAAACATGAAGACAATAAACACACGATTGTGACAATAGACGGATTATCTGTGTTCTTCAAGCCATCTTGGGTATTTTTACAAGAATAAAGTATATTTATAATGCAATGCTAATCTACACAGCCTTTATCACTGTATAAAATAGTATGATTTCTGCCTCATTCCGTGATGTGAAACCACGTTTAGTCACAAAAAGAAGTTATTTCAAACACTCAAAGTGACTTTGGAGTAAAAGTATGTCAGTAAATCTCTTTGTTGGACAACAGGTTTGTAAGCAGGCTTATACACATGCAGAACTGTATGGCACACGTGCTACTGTACATTTATTCATTGAAGAGAACGATTTTTTTGTCGCACAGTACAGCATTCATAGTTTTGAATGTTACCATGTTATTACCACATTATTACTGCATTTACCCCTTTTATCAATTAAAAATTGAGAAATTATACATTATAAAATGTATATATATAATTAAGAAATATATAAATTGATGAGAAATTTTATTTTAATTTATAAGAACATATAATATGAGAATTTGCAGTATTAAACCCAGTGGAATGAATGGATTTAATTAACTTATGATTGCTCAAAAACAGTCCAAATAGTTATTTCTATTCTAGAACAAAAAATATAAAAAAAAACTTAAATATTACTCTGAAATTTTTTCAATCAAAATAAATTAATTTACCTTGCATAAACTTGAAAAAGTGATCAGATTTTATGCTGCAGTGGTTCGACAATAGACGTACATATTCATGTTCATCAACAAAATTCAGTCCCAAAAGTGTGTGAGATATGGGGAAAAGCCAAAATATATTTTACAGAAGTTTTTGACACTAATATCACTCCATAGATCTTAGAGAGTGTGTGTGTGTGTGTGTGTGTGTGTGTGTGTGAGAGTGTATGTGTGTGTGAGTGTGTGTGTGTGTGTGTGTGGTTCACTCAGACATATTCATGTTCATCAACAAAATTCAGTCCCAAAAGTGTGTGAGTGTCATGGAAACGGGTGTGTGGAGGCAGGCAGGACGACGAGGACGACAAGGATTCCAATAATGATATTTATTGTAGACACAACAAGGCAGGTTCAGGTAGGTGAGACACACACTCGGGGTAACATTAACAATAACCGACACCAATGCTCAGACAGACAGGAACTAATATGGGGTGAACAATTAGAGGCAGACAGGTGAGCACAATGACGGTGATTAACTAATGATTAGACGGGCTAAACCAACACAAAGGGAAGAAACCACAACAAACAGTCCACAGGGGCGTTACAGTGAGAAATGGAGAAAAGCCTAAATATATTTTACAGAAGTTTTTGACACTGATATCACTCCATAGATCTCAGTATTTTAGGCCTCTAATGGTGCTCCATACATTCCCAGGTCAAAATGACCCGAACATTTAAATGGTTATATCTCTTAAAAAATAATTGTAAAAAAATAAATGATGTGCATTTTGAGGATCTTAAAGCGTTTGCAAAGTTTCGTTCCCTTACTAAAAACGATGCATTTTTTAGGAATTTTTTTGTATCTCTTTAGGGTTAAGAGCTTAAATGGTTCTTCTACACCATTTCTGGTTCTCCAAAGAAGCTCTCAGTGATCAGTTCTTAAAATAAAATGTCTTCTTAGTGTAAAGAACATTTTATTAATCTAAAAAACCTTTTTCCGCTCTAAAGAACCTTTAATGGTTTCATGAATGCCAAAAAAGAAGCTTTATTTGTGAGTGTGAAGCACAAATGGGTTTATTGTGGAGCCCTTTGTCTCTCTGGAACACAAAAGTACTGTTACAGCGCCTCCACTTTCTGATGGATTACAGACTGATAGTCCAGCGCTTTAGCTTCATCTTCATCATCAGTCTGTCTTTCTCTCGTCAGAGCGAGATGTTGTGTCTCAGATTCTCCGTTTGCATGATAATGTCAGCAGCTGCGTTCGTCATTCAGTCGCTGACCTTCCTTCATCTGAGGACCGAAAGGCCTCTGCTGTGACATTATCTGACAGAGATTCCTCAGCAGAGCTTCATCATCTTCACCTGCTCCTCGAGTGTGTGACGTGTGTCGGTACGGAACGCTTCATCCTGTGTTTCAGTGTCTTTTGTCCATCTTCTGTCTCTAAATGCACCACGTTTAGACACACATCTAATGTTCCTGAACGGACTCACAAACCTGAAAACCCTCAAAATCAGAAAAAATAAAGAGTTTTAGTTTTTTGACAAAATGACAGAATTTCAACAAAAATATTATTTAAAAACAAAACGAGTTTTAAAAATGTTTAAATATTATTTGGATAATATTATTTTAAAATCTAAATTTTATTTAATATACACTTGTTCCAAAGTTTGGAATTAGTATTTTTTTTTGTTAAGTTTTGAAAAAAAGTTTTTTAGGAAAAAAAAAAAAAAAAAAAAAAATGCTTTTGTGTGTTTGTGTTTACATTCTTTTTCATGACAAATTCTCAACATAACATAAAATGTTTAAAAACATTTATATATTATTTATAAATAATAAATTATATTTACAATTTAATATACATTTTTTATATATCATTATTATTATTTTAAATATTTAAGATGTTAATATTGTTTTTTAATAATGTTTTAACATTTAATATACTCTTGTTGAAAAGTAGTAATTAGTTTTTTATTTTTCGAAAGATATTAATACTTTTTTTCATCAAGGATGCATTAAATTGATCAAAAGTGACAGTAAACACATTTATTATAATGTTACAAAAGATTTCTATTTTAAATAAATGCTGTTCTTTTGAACTTTCTATTCATCTGTGGATCCTGAAAAATAAAATATATCACGGTTTCCACAAAAATATTGTGCAGCATGACTGTTTTCAACATTGATAATAATCAGAAATGTTTCTTGAGCAGCAAATCAGCATATTAGAATGAGTTCTGAAGATCATAGACACTCTCTGTCTCTCTGACCTCCCGCCGCTGGGTTTCTTGGCGTTTTATATTAATGTAATGTATATAATTTATATTAATATTAATGTCCAGCATCTCAAGAGCTCCTAATATTCATCAGTGCACTGAGACTCCATCTGCATTTCATCAGATCTGACACATGAATTGTAATACATTTTAAATGTATAACACATATAAAATGTTTAAAATAGTGCTGTCAATCGATTAAAAAATTTAGAAAAAATAAAGAAATTAATCCCACCTAACATTAAAGCTTTTAAATATACTTTTATATTGCAATAATTTCACATTCAATCTTCTAACTAATGTAGAAACAACATAAAGACAGTATTTTTTTAATATTGGTTTAATGGCATTTTTTTGTGACTGAAGGCGAGTATAACTTATACCAATAATACTACTGATGTCTCTATGAAATTTTTTTTCTCTAATATTTAACCCTTGACTAGCCATTCAACATTACAGTATAATTGAGCGCTGTCAATTTGAACATTTATTAGACTTTAAAAAATATCTTCTAATTTAAGTGAACTTAAAACAATCTTCACGTAAACCCATTATAATAAATATCATATTTAGCTACCTGTGCCCTTCAAAAGAAATATACAGTTATCAAACACTAAACTCTAAATGAAATGCAGATGAATCCTTAAAGCTACAGAAGTGATTGATTTGCGCTTTCTTCTTTAGTTCTTTGATGAACAGCATCACAGCAGCTGGTTATGAGGTTATTTTGGCTGCTGAACATGACACGGATCTGACACGCATCGTAGTTTCTGATAACTCTTTACCTTTTCTGACCCACTGCAGCTCTTAAAGTCTGTATAATGAGCTGAGGAGTTGAATCGGGTGAAATTCATGTTCTTAAATGTAACTCATATAACAAATTCTTACATGCATGCACAGTTTTAATCAGCTTTAATCGCTTTTTTGGTAACTTCATGACTTAACTGATGACATAACTGCGACATTGCGTACTCGTAGTTTCTTTTGCGCTTTAATATGAAATTATGCAGGCTACAGCGCCGCCGCCGCATTTGTGTGTGCAATTGAACTAGCACGTGCTAATTTTGCCAGCACTAGTTTAAAAACATTTAAATATTATTTATAAATAATATTTACAATTTAATATTAAAAATTATATTATTGTTTTTAATATTTAAAGATTTTTTAAAATAATATTTAAAATATTATTTAAAAAATATAAAATGTTATTTAATATACTCTGGTTCAAAAGTTCAAGAGTTAGTCATTTTTATATGTTTTAATGTCTTACGGGTAAAGAAAATTAGTTTTGTGATTAAATCTGTGCAGATGTGCTATTAAAGTCCTATATTATTTGTTAAATATTAATTTATTTCTGCACTGAAAAAATGGTACAGAAACATTTTTTACTTGGAAATTGCTTGTAAATTGTACAAATTATTGAATTAAACATGGAATTTTGAAGTTAAAGATAATTTTTTACAGTGAATATACAAGACATATTGTTTCAAAGCAGTTTAAGACATTAATAATAAAGAATAACACTGTTAATGTAAAATTGATCAATTATGAAACCAGTTCAATTTAATGCAGCTCTACAGAAGACAATAGAGTCGTTATTCAGAATGATTCAGTTCAGTGTTGATTCACTTTGAATCAGTTTAACATAAGTTTTAAACAGATTTCTATTTCCGCCGATGGAATCTTCAGTGTTTCAAATGTAACAGACAGTCAGGTTCATTTGCATACTGAGCTCTGATTGGTCTAAAACCTGAACGTGTGTTTAAAGTCGAGGAATCTCTGCCGTATGTCTGTCCTTCAGCTCGTCATCGCTGTATCTTCATCAGTCGTCTGTCTGACCTCAAACACGCCAGCAAAGACAAAACGACACTCGCTTACGTCAGATTCGTGAAGAAACCACAAAACCCCCCCAGATTCACTCGTATAAAGAAATACCAGCCAAAAACTAATAAAATAATAAACTAATAAAATTATTATTTTGTTAAACATTCCAAACACTCCAAATGAAAACAGAAAATCTAAAAATGATGGAAGCTGTTTCTGTCATGGAATAAAAAATGTAATTGCGACTTATCTTAGAATTTCTTCTCTCACAATTCTGACTTTTTTCTTGCAATTCCGACTCACACACACACTCGCACACACACACACACACACTTCAGACACAGATGATAACAGCAATATTACACTGTTCGTGGTTTCTGTGTTTATTTTCCTACGTGATTTTGGGAGAAAATCTGAAAATCTTGATGAAATTCAGGAGGACATTTCTGAGAGCTGGTGCTTCTGCTCCCGAATGTCATTTGAGATTGTTTGTTTATGTGTTTGATTCCCATTACCCGTCTTTCCGTTCATTATTAATGCCGTCATGATGATGTGGTTTGCATTGATTGTCGATCGATGTGTGTGTGTGACTCATGCGCCGCTTCTTCCTGTTCCTCTCAGCACGCGGCTCCGTTCCAGGTAGCGTTGCAGGATGACCGCCGGATGCTGCTGTCGCTGGATGCTGATGATGTGAGGCCCGACGTGTCTGTGTATTCGGTGCGTGTTTCAGGAGAGCCGCACACGCACACGCTGCTGTTCACGCGACCCGCCGACGGTCAGACACTGCCGCATCCGCTCCAGTTCAACGCCTCGTACCACGGCCTGTGCTACTCCATCAGTCTGATGCTCGGGAACGACAGCAGCGCATCCAGAGCCGTCAGAACCGTCCCTGTGCTCACCAGTAAGACAGTCAGACATCTGCTACACGTGTGTGAAATTAATGCATCAAAATATAAAACATTTACAATGAAAGAGATAAAAAAATATATATATATAAATGAGATAAAATAGGCAGTAGTCATTAATAAATCTAATTTAAAGATTTATAAATAAAGAAATAAAGAAATTAAAATAGGCAGTAGTAATTAATAAATCATATTAAAACATTTATAAATAAATTATTAAATAAAAATATAAATAAATTAAATTAGGCAGTAGTAATTAACAAATAAATAAAAAACATTTATAAATGAATTAATAAATAAAACTCATCCAGAGCTATCAGAACCGTCCCTGTGCTCACCAGTAAGACATCTGCTACACATGTGTGAAAATAATGCATCAAAATATAAAACATTTACAATGAAAGAGATAAAAAAAAATATATATATAAATGAGATAAAATAGGCAGTAGTCATTAATAAATCTAATTTAAAGATTTATAAATAAAGAAATAAAGAAATTAAAATAGGCAGTAGTAATTAATAAATCATATTAAAACATTTATAAATAAATTATTAAATAAAAATATAAATAAATTAAATTAGGCAGTAGTAATTAACAAATAAATAAAAAACATTTATAAATGAATTAATAAATAAAATGAATGCACATTAAAATAGTCAGTAGTAAAAATAAAACATTTATAAATAAATTAATAAAAATAATAAATACATTACAGTTTTTTTCAATTGTTTACACGCAATTTTGAAAACCAGGTTCTTTTTTTCACAATATAAACACAATTATCCAAACACCAAACTCAATTTGCATAATTCCTAGATTGTTTGCAAAATGACACACTTCAGTCAAAACATATACACATATTTGTGAAAATGCTATTAGTTTTCATTTAACCAACACAGTCCTCAATGATCAGACACTATTGCAGCCAGTTTCACACTGCTGTGATAAATAAAAAACACATTTGTACAAAAACTAATTTTAGGAAATAGCATGTGCTAGATTTTTGGCCACACATTGTTATGTAAGGGATAATTTAGATGAAAAAAAAAGAAAAAAAAAAAAAGACAAACCCACAGCATTCTTCATGATTAGTTTGAGATATAGGGAGAATGTACACAAATTGGCCTACTATAAAATTACCAAGCACTGCACAACACTGATGCTGCAGACTGAATATTTCAAGTATTTATTTCAATACTTACAGTATTTCTTACCATAATCAGTTACAGTAATCAACCAACAATGAAACAAATAAAATCTGTAGACAAATAAAAATTACTGCATGAAGTACATACAAGAAGAAAAACTACTGTAAAAGCAACAAGAATACTGTAACTATTCATCATCTCTCCGTCTGGCTGGATCAGGCCATAAGATTTCATCCACATCACAGGCTATGTCTTCATTGGCAAGGCACCGTTGGAAGAATCGCCTCGTGTGACGAATCCACCCCTGCACAGAAGCTGCTTCGATATGATCACAGGCCTGCTCCATGGCCTGAATGAGGGGCAAACGGTCATAGGGCCGCAGGTCGTATACCTTCCACCGCCATGCTGAAAAAAAA